TGAAAAGGGCTTGGGTGAAGGTTCTTTAGTTAAGTTTGTGTAAAAGGTTGATTATGTGGGGTTGATCGTGTGTAAAAGATCCAAGTGTTATTGAAGGTTGTATGGGATGATTCTCTAAAAGCTCAATGTTGATTTTAGTGGAAATATCAAGAGGAAATTTTTGGAGAGGATATATCAAATGTTTGGGTTAAACCTGTATAAATTTATAGTGCAATTTCTCTATCCTTTCTCTCTTTATTTTTTGTTGTTTATTTTCTATCTATTGCATCTTTGTCTTTTTCTTGTTCCTTATATATTTCTGCTGCAATTTCTCTGTATATTTTTTTATACTAATATAAATAATTTTCAAAAACCAAAATTTTTACAAATTGTTTTTGATTTTTGAATATCACAATTCACTCATCCTCTCTATCTACATTTTGAAGTCACTTGGTCAATATAAACTTATAAATAGTTTAAACCTTGTCTTTGCTAGCAATTAACTTGACCTTGTATTGTATTTTACAATTAATCCATCTGAACTGTGTTTCATCTTAAACACCTATTTTAACTTAATATCCTTTTTATCATATGAAAAGTCTATTAGCCCTCATGTATCATTCCTTTTAATTCTAGTTACTCTTCTTTCATAGCCTTATTCTATGTCTTGTTCATTAAGGCCTCATGTTGCTTGATGGGTTTAGCATCTTCCATTTGTGCCATATGAACCAAACCACCTTCCCCGGTCACCTAATTGCCATTGTTCAGTTTACATTCATGCAACCTTCTTGGAATGTTCTTTATTCTTTTTAGTCTCTCATTCACCTCACCAGTTGGTATTTCCAAGTCTTCTTTATATGATTCATTACTATCATAACTTTCATTAATTAATGAGCTTGCTTGAACTGCTCCATGGTTACCAATCCCACGAGCTTCCCTCATCTATCACCATATTCATGCTAATATACATATGTTGAGTGGCAGGATCGTATATTTTATAAGCACCAGTTTCATGATAACTAACTAAAAGCAGTGGTGTGCTTTTGTTATCCAACTTCATTATCTTAGCATAAAAGGCATTGCAAAGATGAAACAAAGAAGCGAATGAGTTATCATGAAGCTGAGTTAGTTAATAGGCAACAACATCATACTTCCCTTACAAAATTCCATTTCCTTATAAGGGTTATATGCAACAAGTTCTTCTCCATGGCCAACAGTTACTAGAGTTAGTGAGAAGGCACCTTGAAACATGTTGAAAGTCCTCTCAGCTACCGACTCTAGTTTTCACGTGTCACAGAGGCTTTGGATATAAGCAACTTCCTATTTAGAGACACAAGTTTGTGCTTCTTGCTAAGTGTGAGGCACTTGGGAGGGGTAGTGATTGGAAACTTTGGAGGATTATTTTCAGCGTTAACAATGGCGACCCCTACAGTACCAGGACCAGATAACTTAAACTTCTTTCCTGAACCTTCTTTTTGGACAAGGCCTTTGTCTTCACCCTTTTTTTTATCTCCCACCATTGAAGCACATATGACATTGGACATTTTGCTCTGTCGTTCTTTTTAAGTCGCCTGGGTTTGGGCGGTTGGCAGAGCTTCGGCATCTGCGACGGGATGTTCTGACATCACCTCCGTTTGGGTTAAAGTTGGAGTAGGGGTGGAGTCTAGAGCACGTAAGTTGTTGCACTAGCCTTCTTCCTCCTAAAGAGATTATAGAAAGACATTATGATGTCTGCAGAAAAAGCAACGATAATTAGCAAATGATTAAGGAATATCAAAAGCAAGTATGAAAACAAATTTCACATTCTCACCAAAGAGTTCTTTTCTATCCCAAGCATCAACTGCGTCCATTGTCACTTGGATATTAATGAGTCACCTCTTTCATGGAGCTCCCAACATCCGAAGGAACTTTACGTTTTTCGAAACCTAAGTATTCTCAAAATGTTATTCGATCCTCTTTCATTGACACTTTTTTGGGTTTAGAGATTTAGAAGGGACGACATAAGTGTATGATTCCCAATTGAAACAAATTCAGATCCAACATTTTCAGATCCTCTCTTTATATTCGAACAACTCTTAGACATAAGGGCTGATTGGAGGAGATTTTCTTTTAGGGTCCATGCAGAATATTGAATAGGCCTCTAGAATCTGAGGAGTTACTACAAGGAAGCGATCCTTAAATCTCTTCAAACTTTCAATATAAACGTTGAACATTTTAGATGTCTAAAGTAGTGAGATAAATCCTTATCCGTAGAAAGGATCCTTCGAAGTGTGTGTCAGAATGAAAATATTAAGAAAAAGACACATAGGCAATTCTTTATCTTGGTATTCACACTAGTAGTTATAGACTTTAACAAAGGCACATGCTACAAGTGTAGCTGGGAAAGGGCAATCTTGAAGCGCCACATCACCCCCTCCTCAAACTCGTTAAAGGAATACTTTAATTTTAGCTGAGAAAAAAATGCATTCATATAAAGGGATGAAACATATATCAAAGTAGTTGCAGATCCTCTTGCTAGTATCGACATGTGAAATCGACCAATCAGATAGTGAACCCACTTCTACGTGAGCATTATATACTCCATATGCCCTATTATAGTAGGAAATCATCCCCACCAATTTGAAATCCATCCAACGGTACAGATCGACGTCCACCGACTCCATCCAACCTACATGTCTCCGTCGAATCATGTCCTCCAGACTATTATGAAAAGGATAATGTTGATCAGTACACAGTGGTTGCGAAAATTAAGGTGATCCCTAATTTCTTTGACAATAAGCTTTCAGCCATGTGTCGCCGTAAAGGTGTTAGTGAAATCGTGAGTCTCCTGCTTATTTCAAGTCGTTACAGTAACATCTGGATTTGTGCAATGCCTGATAGAGGAAAAGAGATGAATAACCATACCCTCGTATCAAGGTTGTCAGAGTCCTCCTTCCCATCTTCTTTATAAGATTCCTCAATACTTCCCTTAGTATAGGCACTAAGAGGTCCATCACATCTCTCTCTCTCTCTCTCTCTCTCTCTCTCTCTCTCTCTCTCTCTCTCTCTCTCTCTCTCTCTCTCTCTCTCTCTCTCTCTCTCTCTCTCTCTCTCTCTCTCTCTCTCTCTCTCTCTCTCATCAGGCCCAGAACTATTGTTAAGTACGACAAGATTGGGTTTAGCTCAGTTAACCTCTAAAAGGTTAGCATTCAAGACATATAGGCTTTCATATATTGTAGATAATGAAGAATCTCCACCATCAAGTTCATCCATCGTGTTCTCAGACATATTTTCTATGTCGTCCATAGTAAAGACAAGTAAATAAAGCAATGTAATGTAAGAAAATGAGGCTATAAATGATACATGAGTAAAGAGGCGAGGTGAAGGAAAATCTAAAAGTAAGTGAAACTTGAAAAAGACGTTAAATCAGAAGTGCAGGACCCATATAAAAGGAAAAAAAATGGTAAAACCTAAAATCACCTTAACTCAGAGAAGAAAGAAATGGTTTACGAGAAGGAAATAAGTCTCAGTTGTAAAGAGTAAAAATCGTTCGAAAAGGCAAAATAACATTTATATGGGAAAATAAAGGAGACAAATCAACAATTAAGAGTAAAGGAAACTAGGAAGAAGAAAAATAACCGTAGGTATCGCCTCGAGAATGTAACAACACTTAAGTGCACTCGAGTATCCTTTGAAAAAGTGTCACGTTCTAACTTACAGACCTAGGTAAGCCCACATGTAAGAAAAGTCGACGAACATTTCAATGACGAGACTAACACTTAATGTGCATATTCTCCGAATTCGTTTCACTTCTCAACATAAAGATCCTAACATGAAGAGTCCAAACATGAAGAGTCCAACCTAATTTCTTAGAAGAATGTCACACCACAACAATCATTAGGGGCAACTAGCATGGATATGTCACAAATCTAATGTGAACATTAGTGTTAAGGTACAATTTTCCTCATATTTCACTCTACTCCGTCTTCATTCACTCACATTAGTGTTAAGGTTCAATTTTCCTCATATTTCATTCTACCCCATCTTCATTCACTCACTAATTGAGTGTTAACATTATATATCCATCCCGCGGTTTCATTCACTCACTAATTGAGTGTTAACATTATATATCCATCCCGCAGTTTCATTCACTCACTAATTGAGTGTTAACATTATAAATCCATCCCGCAGTTTCATTCACTCACTAATTGAGTGTTAACATTATAAATCCATCCCCATGCAACCGCGTCGGAGATTTACACCACCACATCAAAACTCTACAACAATTATGGTTCCTATGCAGAATTATTTCAAATGTTTATTGTTAAATTTAATTTTAAATAAATTTAATTTAATAATTAATTTAATTTAATTTAATAATAATAATATGTAAAAAATAATATAATTATTAAATTATTAATAAAGAATATTATTTTGTCATTTCACATTTATTAGTGAAATCAATGCTTTGCCAAATACATCAATAGGCTACTTTAACAAACAATTCAATTAAATTATTAACTTATCGGCTACTATTCATCAACTATAACCTAACTATCAACTATAACCTAACTATGGGTTAGGGGCAAGGAATCTATAACCTAACTATCAACTATAACCTAACTATGGGTTAGGATCAAGATTCCTTGCCGTAAAAAAAGCATATCATCAACTATAAACTAACTAAGGATCAAGATTCCTTGCCCTCAAAAATGCAGGAACCGTCTAATTAGCACGGTCTTGATTTAAGTTTATTATTTTTAGAATTATAAAATTCTGCTTTTTCTGATCATCAGAACAAAATTTAAGAATGCGTGAATGCAGATTCAAATACCAATTTCATAGACTTGAATTTACATTACAAAATAAATATATATAAATATAAATATAATTTCGACACATAGCTTAGCTCTCTCTTTATTGAATAGCTTAGCTCTATATAATTCATTCAAACACTATTTATCATCTCAAGAAGATAACGTAGCCCTTCTTTTCCTCTCTTTTTCCATCCATCAAATTGATAAAAACTGATAATGTATGGGTCAAAAGTCAGGATCAAGAATAGTAGAAAACAAAAGCCCTTGTACAAACTCACTTCGCCTTGCTTTCTCCACTTTCTCTTTCTCACATAAAGGTGGAGCATCTCTGCAATATTATACAAGTGTGTTTTAAATTACATATTATCAAAACAGATAGATAAAAGTAGCTATATAACCAGTATTTATCTGAGGTAAGTTAGCTATAGTTTAACCATGACAAAACAAATAAAGATCCTATTTAATCACGATTTAATCTAAAAAGTATTTTGCGAAACCCTATTTACCTATAGTTTAATCATGACAAATTTGGGACCCTATGCGGTAACCCACCTTACACGCACGCTCTCAAAGAAGGTCGGGCATTTATTAAGCAACAACTTTATTGTTAAACATGTTATTTCTTTATGGTTTTTTCATTGCTTCCTTAAAAATATTCTATTTAAAACTTATTAAAAAAATTAAATTCTATATTAACTACCTTAATATGGTAATCAATGTCTTGCATACACAACCACCATGGGTTTTAAACAAGAACAAATCTAGAGAGGTTAAGGACTTGCATACACAGCCAGGTTTTTGCGTTATATCTGTCATTCATTAATTGCCTCATTATCTATACTACTAGATGTAACTCAGATCCAAAAAAAAAAACAGTTAAATTGCCTTTCAAATGTATTTTTCAATCTTACAGTGAAAGTTGCGAAGTTGAAATGCATATATATATTAATAAAATGTAGAAAATTTAGATCAAACCTAACTGTTTAGAGGGACTTTTAATGTTTTAATGTAAAGCACCTGTTAAGAATATTTCAAGATTACTGCTTCACAAAGTTAAAGGGTGCTCAGAGGTAAATCTTTTGGAACCAACAATCATCCACAAACTAAATATCAATGCAATAGATCAAGCAAACTGCATGGACAATAAATTTTCCCAATCATCCACAAACTTCAATTGTCGTAACCAAAAGTAAATTGTTGAAATTAAAATGAACTATGATCTTACCAAACTTTAACCAACAATCTACCAGGATTTAAATCTAAGTCGCTACTTTTAACCACCATTTCCAACTTGAAGATTAGTCTCATAGTTATGTTTAAGGATATTGGAAAAAAACAAAGAAAAGAAAGAAAAATAGAGGCTAAAAGAGTGATACAAAATCTTACCTTTCTAACAATGTATCATCTGAGTGTATTTCTTCAATGCTTGATTCACTTGAAGAATCAGGCTGCACATTTTCATTTTCACCAGAAGCAGGTGAGCCACATACAAATGACAGAAATGGATCAGAAGCCGCCTTGGAGGTTGACATCCTAGGCGACGACAACCCGTCAGAAGAAGATTGCCAGTGTCCATCCCGTCCACCCTTTCTTGAAAAGGAAAGTTTCGGGTACAAATCATGTTTATGGTATTTTGATTTGAGATTACTGTAATCAACAGTCAAGGAACCACATAGTTGAATGAAAGACAAATGAAAAAACAGAAAAGAAGTAAAATGAAACTACAAAAACAAATTAATACTCGCTCTGGTCTCAATTATAAGAGAAAATCTCATGGAAATTCCTTTTTTAAATGATTAGAGTATTTGGTCTATATATAGAGCAAATACATTAATTATTCAATGAATCTTAAAAAGTGAATTTTCTCTTATAATAAGCACTAGAGCGAGTAGTATACAGTTTAATGAAAGTAAAAGCATTTATAATTCTATGATAAAGATCCGAAAGGATATCTTAAATAGGTTTCCATGTTGAGCTGTTATGTGCTCAACCAAATCTGTTCCCACCCACATGCCACAAACAGGACAAAGCTGCATGTAGAAAGATAGATATAAAATTAGTATAATTCCCTAAACCTGAGTTGAGTATATATAGAGATAGTACTGCAAATAACAAGCTAGTAGAGAAATCAATTTCTAGGTATAAAAGAAATTGTACACACTTTGGAATTTCAAGGGCTATTGCAAGTAGTCATGATCAACTTCTAAATCTGCCAATTGAACCCTCAAATGCAATGTCTTTCTAATAGTATCACTAATTATAATCACCAACAAAGTAAAATTGAATGAAGTAATTAAACCCTAAACCCTAATTTAATGAAGTACTATAAACAAAGACTAAAGTAATTAAGGCGTGAGATAGAAAAATTACCCCAGAAGTGGCATCAATAGGATGTTCCAAATCAATATGGCAACATAGCTCTAGAAGATCAAAATCGTCTTCGCAAAATGGGCATGGGTAAAACGTTTTCAACCCAACACCATCGTCTCTATTATCGTCTTCAAAATCGATTAAGAGCTCTGTTTCAAATAATTATAAAACATTTAGAGATATCGTCTTCAAAATCGATTAAGAGCTCTGTTTCAAATAATTATAAAACATTTAGAGAAAAAGCTCAGATATTCTAATAATCGATTAAAAAAAAGCAGTTTGAACAAAATGAGGAATGACCTAACTGAGATTTGAGCTTTGATTGGTATGTTGTAGAAGCGGTATCGTTTTCCATTTGAATAGTGTGAAGAATTAGGGTTGTTTTGAAGTGGGGGTGGGAAGAGTAAGATGAAAATGAATGGAATTTGATAGAGAGTGAAGTTGTGGAATGTGTAGTGTTGGTACTATAGAGAGAGAGAAAGAGAGAGAGAGAGAGAGAGAGAGAGAGAGAGAGAGAGAGAGATGTAAGGGAACGTGGTACGTGTTAATGGCAAAAGTAAAGGAAAAAAAGGAGGAAAGTAGCGATGACTTTTGGGTTGAGAAGAGTTCTTAGTTGGTGCGTTGGAGACTCGATATCCTTGGCCATTACGAAACCTAGTTATTTTGCATTTACTAAAACACCCTTCATAGTTATGCAACTAGTCATGGGTGTGGGTTAATTTGTAAATAAGGTCACTAAATCAACTTTAATTTTTATTTTGACCCAATTTAATATATAGGGTTTGCTTTAGTGTGGTTGTTCGGTGTGTATATCTATTTGTGGTTAGATTATCTCATTGGATTAATTTAGTTTTATTAAATTATTAGTTATTTTGAAACAGTTGATCACAAGTCTTTGTTATGAGTCATGAAGTGAGAATTGCTGATGTGAAAATTTTGAGATGATTCATGTGTGATTTTTATCGAGGGAATGAGATTATGTTGAAAGAATTTTTTGGGGTAAGAAAGAGTTTCGTTGAGAGGTATTGACTCTTAATTTCGACGTCTGAATGAGATTAAAAGTAGGAAATAGATTTTTCCGAAGAAATTTAATGACTTCGATTGAAGTCATATTTTTAGAATTTGAGTCGAAGGCGTCATTTCGCCGGGAGAATCTATGTTACGGACTTAGAGATATTTCTTAGCAGTTGGAAGACTTGATTCGACAAAAGTGCCACTAAAGGCATTTCGCCGAGAAGGTTTGAATTCAAATAAAGGAGAGAAAGTTCAGTCTCATCCATTCCTCAAAGAAGCCACGCGGAGCTCTTGTAGGATTTGAAGGCATACAGAGTGACACTTGTCTCATTTTCGTTTGTTAGTCGTTAATGGCAGTTATTTTCGATTAGTATAAATAGCAAGTCTTAGTGTTATGATTTGTGTGTGATCAATTATGTACAAATTCTTCAGTATACTCCAAGTACCCGTGTGTTGAGAGAAACGAGTTTGTAAGAATGTACGTTGATGTAACACCATCTTTTCATTTCAATGCAATTTAATAAATCTTTTTCCTTAAAAATTTATTCTTTCTTTATGCAAGTTCTTATCTTCATCATTTACAAGTACTTCGATTTTACTTCTTTTTACCCAAATTCGTTTACACTTGAAACGAGTTTGTGTGGTCGATCTTGCAAGTAAAACAAATCTTTTTTGATTTGTAAGACCAGCGATTGTTCACCAATTTTTCACGGCGAACAAATTGGCACGCCCAGTGGGATTGTGCTAAGTGATCATAAAATTTGCTTCAAAAATTTTAAAAATTATTAGTTCTGCGGTCAACTTTTTCTTTGAAAAACTTCGTTGCATGTTATTAAGAAGTGGTAAAGTAGACACCGTTAACAAAGATAGAACAAGAAGAAGATATAGGAGGAGAATGGCGGCAAATTCAAACCAGCCAAGTATTCCTCAAGATATGCCTAATAATAATGTAAAACAACCCATATGATATTCGACAGAAGGACCAACGGTCCCAGCGCTTGTCTCTGAAGCAATTCCATATATGGAAAGTTCGGTACCTACACATTCGATTTCCCATACGCAACCTATTCTAACTTATAGTGGGCCTAGGAGTCCTCCACGGACTCCACCACCAATAGGGGCTTCAACATTCAGAAGCATCCCTCCTCCTGGGTTTTCAATACCTTTGCCTCGAGACCCACCTTATGGAATGTCAAATTCGATGATGTCAAACTTACAAAACGCCCCTCCGTTATATACAGAACCTGTAATGACTTCGCCATTACAGGGATATGGTTCTGGGGTGAATATGGGTCGAAATAATCAAAATTTAGGAATAGGGTATTCAACCCAAATGCCAAATTTGACAACCAGTTATGCATCATACTTGAGACAACAAATGGACGAAAGTAACCTTCAAATGGTCCAAATGATGTCCTAAACTATGGGGGGGATTTTTCAGCCCCTTATTCAGAATACTATCCAAATTATCAATAATTAGCAGCACAAATGATGCATCTTGTAGAATTCTTTGGTGTACCAAATCCCCCTCGACAACCACCGAGGGAGTACATGATAGAAAACCAAAGGGTAGTTTTCGACAAAGACACCACCATTAACCAAATTCAACAAAACCCGGGAAATATACCCCAGGCAAATCAAAACAACCAGGGAATAATCGAAAGACCTAGAGTCGAACCCCCTAGGAATCAACCATAAGTTCCTAGAAAAGAAGAACCAAGTGTAGTTTTGGTAAATAGGAACCAGGATGCTGAAAACATTGTGCAACAAGTTCGACGTAACAACGTAATAGCAAATAATAACCTGGATGCCATGGTCGAAAGAATCATGGCACATAACTGAGTAAATTGTGGCCTTCGAAGGCCAAACTATACCCCACCTTTATTCGAATACATCCTTCAGTCAGAATTACCCCAAGAACAAAGGTTCCTAAGTTTGCTAAGTTTTCTAGGGACACCACCGAGTCCACTGTCGAACATGTGGCTAGGTATTTGATAGAGGTATGAGACATTTTGAATGATGAGAACCTTAGAGTAAAATATTTTCCAAATTCTCTTACAAAGAATGCTTTTACTTGGTTCACAACCTTGCCTGTAAATTCGATTTATAATTGAACCCAGTTAGAACGTTTGTTCCATGAGCAGTTCTACATGGGACAAACAAAGATTAGTTTGAAGGAATTGGCTAGTATAAAAAAAAAGTTTACTAAGCCAATAGATGATTATTTGAATAGGTTTCAACATCTCAAGGCAAGGTGTTTCACACAAGTGTCAGAACACGAGTTAGTCGAAATGGCTGTTGGGGGTTATTGCACCCCAAAATTTGACCAACCGGTTCTCGTACTTGGCTTGTGTTTCAACTCATTTTTTTGCATATCATAGCATTTATTCTTGAGGCGCGGGGTCAAGGTTTTCCTGTGGCTCAGGGCTCTTTTTAGCGCAAAAGACCGAACAATGAGCATCGGAAGCTTCGACATTTATTTTGCCCAGTGATCGAGCGTCAATTTTATTTTGTTTTGCAGGATATTTCAGCTTAGGAGGCAGCATTCAGGCTATATCGAGCATTTTCAGGGTTATAGCATTCAAAGGCAAGTTTCAGAGGCTGGACAGGGCTCAAAACGATTGAAAACAGACCATTGTGCAGATTTCCCTCCAAAAGGCGCCAAATTCAAGATTTTGAAGGTGTTAATCGATTAACCAAATAATTAACCGATTAACCAGTTCAAAAACAGGTCAAATTCAAATATTCAAAGGTGTTAATCGATTAACCATATGGTTAACCGATTAACTAGTGCAGATTTTGCCTTTGTACGTGATTTTTCAAGTGAAGCCACTTTGGGGTCCAATTTTGATCACTTGTGAGTTGATTTTACACCAAGGGAAGAATCTAGAACCATTTCAAATTTTGGTTAACTTTCAAATCATTTCAAATTCCCTCCAAAATTTCCACTCCTTACTCCAAAGCAATTTTCACAAACCACATTCCAAGCCCCATTTGGATCCAAGCCTAAGGGGTATTTAATTGATCTACTCCAAACCTCACACATCTAACTCTCATAATTTTCATTCTCATTTCAGAATTCACTCTCACTCTCTCAATTTTCTCTCAATTTTCTCTCAATTTCTTCATTTCCAAACCTTCACCAAAGCTCTTCTCACATTAAAATCCTTGATTCTCCATTGAAATCATTGACTTCTAAGAGCTAAACCTTCACCCATCATCCTCATTGAATCAATTTCTTCATCCAATTTTCGTGCAAGTTTGGATCTGAATTTTGAAGTTGCTTGGAAGGAGCTTATTTGGATTATTTTGGCTTAATTGTGGTAGATCTTCACTTCTACAACAAGAACACACTTGGATCTTGAAGAATCTCCGGGTTTCTTGCTTTGATCTACTTATTTCCAGCGAATCAACACTAACTGAAGCAATTCTCCGCTTCGTAGGTTGGAATTCTTGATCCGATTTTGATTTTGAGCTTATTTGCATAATTAGCATGTAGATCTTCATTTTCGATTGATTTTGCTAATTTGATTCATATGATCTGTGATCTTGCTAGTTTAATGTGTTTACGTGTTGATTGGATCATTTTTTGCTGGTTTAAATTCGTGCATAATTGATTATGTGATAATCCGGATCATTGGATAAGTGCTTACGTGCTGAAAATGTTGTTCTCTTGTTGTTTTCTGCTGCTGGTACAGGGTTAACCGATATAACCCAGGGTGTTAACTGATTAGCCTTTGCACATTTTCAAATTTTCAAGCATTTTTCAATGGTTAACCGATTAACCCCTGGTGTTAATCGATTAACAATGTGCCAGCAGGCCTGTTTTGCTGTTTTTCTTGCATGTTTCGATGCTCACTCACTTCGAATCTTCATGGATCAATATGACGCATTAGGAGCGAGTTGTTTTGGATATAGGTCGTTGCTCTTGATTGTTTAATCATGGTTTTGTCGACATGCGTTTCGTTTTCCACTTGAATGCATACTCTCGTATATGTTGTTTAATATGATGTTTATCATTTGGTTTTTGCATGAGTTCGAAGAATGATTCGGTTGAGACGCGGTTGTAGTGGTTGCTGTCCCACAATTTTTCCTCCCGCTTTTCTTTGGTGATTGATGCTTGAATAGTTGTAGGGGTCATGACTTCTCCCATTGCATCTCACTTTTGGCTTGAACTTGTATGAGCCCATTTTGTTTGCTTATGTGTGCATTTTCTTTTGGTTCTTGCATTTCCATTTGCATGCTTGAGGTTGAGGCGCGCTTGTGGTGGTGTTTACCCCACACATTTTTTTTCCTCCCTCACTTTCATTCTAATTGTGCATTACATGTTTGTACATTGCA